CCTAATTTCATACTTGTGTTCAAGTTTAGTAACTTCTTTTTGATAACATTTTTTGGCCTTAAACGTGGAGCTAAAGGAGTCTCAAGAATCCAGGACAAGTCCGCTAGTTACAATCCTTGGAATCTACACCAAAATCTTGAGAACACACGCTATAACACTTCTGCCCATCTCTGTCTCTGTGCTTCGTTCTCTTTCGCACCGAATGTAAGCCGGCGCCTGAAGCATTTTTAGGCTCATCGTCATCTACTCGTACCCATCCTCTCCAAAAACCCGTGGCCATCGTCATCATCATGGGGCCCCCATAGTATAGTATAGCCGGGGCACTCATCCAGTCAAGAGCGGGGAAACGGCTTGCATTTGTGGTCTGGATGAGCCGATTTTCTGTTTTCTATTGCGGTTAGCAAAACGTTGACTCCTCAAGTTGTTATTTCAACTGTTTTTGCAGAAGCTCTCCCTTCTCTCTCCCTCTTCAGTGTAATGGGGCGGGGGTGTGCTGTTATTGCCATTCGTTGGTGTAATGTTCTTGTTGTTGTAACGCTGCTTGAGATGTCAAATAGCAGAGCGTAGAGCAACAGCAACAAACCGCAGCAGGAAGCACTTGAAAATTGAAATCCAAGCATTAGGGGCGCCAGCTATGCAGTCGACGTTGTCGTCGACGCCAACGCCAACGCCAACGCAAAACGCGACAGAACAATAACAACAATAGTGCCAGCAGCCATCCAACAACAACAACACCCGCATAGAATAACAAAAACAACAGCGACTACTACATAGAATATCAACAACAACAACAACGGACCAACAACAGGCAGCAGCTGAAGAACAAAGGTCCTCGGTCCTCGCCTTTTGCTATTTGCATATGAATATGGAGCACTTTTGGAGGCAGCTTTTTGGGTTGTTGCTTCCACCACCACCAGGAGCAGCAGCTTACAACAACAATAACAACAACACCAATATTGGTGAGATATGAATAAACCAGCAAGCCCACAACAACAACAATAACAAGCAGCAGCAACAAAGATCCGTAAAAGAAAAACTTATTGCTGATGCTGTTGTTATACCCTCACCAAAGATTTGGGATTTTCTCCTCCAAGGAATAAAAAGGTTTTCCGTAATAAATATGCCAACCAAAAAAGGGTGTTTTTGTCATCTTTAGGAAAATGAATATTTTACGGACCAACAACAAGCTGACCTAACTAAAATAAACCTTATAAGTTGGCATTATACATATGGTATGGTTTTTAGCTCTATATTTCCTGCAACTTCTTTCAGTTGAGTATTGATTATTTTGACAAGAATTTAAACACGAAAAAAACTAGAGGGTATAACCCTCTTAACATTCAATTAAAATTGCATTTAATTTAAAATTTTAACAGTGCTAAAATATCTTTAATTAAAAAGGATCAGGTTTGTTAGCCATTTCCGGTTTATGTTTTTAGAATACTGGGGTGATTATTGCGTAATTACTGCATTCATTTAAAAAATTCCTTTTCTAAAGTATTATCGAATTTAAATTTTTTAATCTTAAATTAAAACGTTTAAAACCGCAGTCCCTGTATTTCGCCTGGGTTGCAAGTAATTCAATAAACGAAAACGTTATGTTGTTGAAACGTTGAGAGCATGGAGCGTAATCCAAAGAGTATATAATTCTTCGATTTTCCACGGTTAAGACTCCCATCTCCCATCTTATGCTTTTGTTGTTGATGTCTCGTGGATGTTGTGGGTTGCTCCATAGCTTATGGTGAGCCTGCAGTGTATTGCCGGCGGCAACAATATCGTTCAATGCTTGCTGCCATTTGTTGCTGTTGCTATTGTTGGTGTTGTTGTTGGAATTGTTGTTGTTGCTGCTGCTGTTGGGGTATTTGTTGGAAGTGGGCGCTAGATGGCGCCACACGCCAGCGAAAATTGAATAAGAGGCTCGAGTTGAAGGCAATTGCCGAAGTAGGCAGGCAAGCGGAAAGCAGGAAGCTATACCAATAACAAACACACTCACACACATTTCAGATGTGGGAAAGATACACCCACACCCGCACTAAGTTGATGGGGAGAACTATTCGTGAACTCATACAGTATTTTATGAGATACACCAACGTTTTATAATGTCTTGGTACCGTACATTTCTATCCTGATCTCATAGAGAAGACATTTGCTAGCATCCCGTAGAAACCTGTATCTTGGACTTAATTTCCACAAATTAATGGAAAATATCTCTCTTCAAATTTGTATAAGATTTTATAATTTGATGTGATTCTTAGATGTTACAGAAACCATAATATATTTTTATAATACATATTATGTTTTTAGATGTTATAGTATCAATTTTAAAAATATAAAGAATTTTTTTAATATCGAAGTTCAAGTGGTTTTCCACAAACTAATCTGGAATATCTATTAGATCAATCATATTTCCATAAACTTTTCTAATTTGATGTAATTTAAAACACTTATAGAATTATAAAACCCCATAAAACATTTCTTCCCCCAACTTAGCCCCAGTTTTTGCCAAATCGAGACTTCGTGATATTCGCAACATAAACGGGGCAACACACAGGCACACACACACAACACACACACCAACACATAAAAGGGAAAAGTTATGTAGTGTTCTGCGCCATGTTCCTTCGGATACCTTCCTCCGTTTGGGTTTTCCTTCTCTCTTATTTTTTTTTTTTTACTTTGCTCCGTTTTTGCTTGTTTTGGGTTACTTTGAATTTAATGGAAAATTTATTGACGACATGCCGCTTAGTCGTTTGACTTGGACTTTTGCCTTTGCCTCTGGCGCACCCCTTATGTATCCCCTCTCTGACCCCGCCCACAATTTCACCATTTCCTGGCACCGCCCCGCACCCAACCTCTGCTCCGTCATGTGTGCAAAGTTTTCGCATTCGGTTTGCTTCGGTGCCGGGCCTCATGAACCTGCCCATGCCCTGCACTCGGAGCGATTCTTCCAAGCAATTGGGGATAAATAGTTGATGATTGTGTGTGGTCGTGGGGGGAGGTTGCCGGAGGTTGGCGGGTTGGCATGGGCACGCCGGAGGAGGATCTGGCGAGGTGGTCCTGATGAATGAGGGATGACCGCTGCTGAATGTGTCTCGGATTGATTGATTGTCCCATGCAATCCAATATGTTGCAGGGAATCGTTTTCTGCGGGTGCCTCTCACCAGTAATCGCTCGCCATTTGCAAGTATTTGATTTCAGGATATTGGCGAAAGTACATTCGCATTCCGCTAACCACTTGACAATTTTTCTCAATATATTAAATTGTATAAGATAAGGACAACCTCTGGGATAATTTTATCAGGAATATGTAGGTGGAAATCAAAGTCTCAAATAGTTGAAATAAACTTTCAGGAAAAGTTATAGACTAGATGTTTTTATTAAACAATATTTATTCTTTTATGTAAAAGATTTTTCAATGATACATGATGTTTATTAATTCATGCAAAATATAACTAAAATTGTAAGTTTAGTTTTATTATCAGAGTTTATCAGAATATCAGAGAGAAAATTTCATTTAAAAATTCCTCCTATTTGAAGTGATTTATAACTTATTTGAAAGTTTACGAATTCATTTCTCACATTTACAGCAAACAATCAATGTGGAAAGCTTATTCTATAAAGTTTATGAATTATTTCTGACCTATTTTAATCTGAAATATTTAGTATAAATCCATGAAAAATAGTTAAGGTGTTTAGTTTTTCCCAATTTTACAGACAGTATGTAATATTTATAACATCTTTTTAGGAATTATGCCATAGAAAATCAATATTCTAATGCTTTAAAATGTGAATAAGTAAAAGCTATCGTTGACGTACAACAACTGTTAAAATTTGTGATGGCCAGCACATATGGTTTTTCTTTTTTGATACAACATCAAACGAAAAACTTTACATTTTTTATTTGAATTTGTCGAGGAGGGAGCTGAACTCCCTCAAATGGCTATATTAAAAACGTGGGAACGCGGCAGGTGGCCGTTGGATGGTGATGAGGGTGGTATAATTCTAGGAACAAAACAAGTACCGCCCAGGTGAGTCCTGAATTTGTCGTCTAATTTGCCGGCTCAAAGTCAAATCTTTCATCATGGAGTTTGCTCCTCCAAAATGAGATAGGCACCATCGAGTCATGCCTTTGACTTGTTCACTTACAATAAATTAGAATTATAACCTCGCTTAGCCAAATCAACGACGCAATAACCTCGCAATAGCCATGGTACATGCAAGAGGACAATTCAGGAATCCAGGGGGGTTTCCATGGGGGGTTAGGAGAGGCATCAGCAACCCCCAAAAGGCGTAGAGCATTTTGCCGAAAATAAAACATTCACAAAGCCATGGCAAGGGGTAGTTATCCTGGCTGGCAGCTCCTGCCTGACGCCACAATCCTCACAGGAATCGTGCCGCGGAAGACCGAAAAACTTTTCTCGCGTGTTTTACCAACTTTAATATTTCATGTTGCTGATTTTCTTTATGGGATTTGGCCGTGGAAATCCCGGGGACAAACACCCAGGACCAAGGACCCAGGACCCACTCCTACACCCAATCTCAACCCCTTGAAACTCAACAAGTTTTTTTATATTTTTGTGTGCCGTACTTCCCGTTGAGAGTCTTGAAAGACCTTTTGGAGTGGAATGCGGACACGCCTGCCATGTTACGCCATTAGTTTATGATTATTGCCTAAAGTTTTGCGGGTCCCCAGTGGAGTTTCCAGCTCACACTTGGAATCAGTGTTGCCAAAAAGTGCCCCCAGTCAATAGAAAAATGCTTAAAAACGAGAGGGAACTTTTGGAAAAGTTTTTTCAAATTTAAATTTGAATATCCTTATACTTCAAATAGAATATATTAATGTTGGGAACCTTTTAATAAATTATTTTACAAATAGATTTACTATATATCTCAAATCTATCTTCTTAAACAAATGCCACCCCTTTAAGCCTTGCAAAATATATCCAAAATAGCAACACTGCTGGTGATAAATTAAGGTTAAAAAAGAGTACACAACTCACCTGTTGTCGGCTCCTTGGTCAGTGTCAGTCCATTGTGGTCGGTTAGCAGCAGCAGCAGGATCTCAATGAGTTGAATCACAAAGAGGCGTCGATTGTAAAACAAAAACATTGCAATCCAACGTTGGTTGTCACCGATAACGGGGCCGGGGCTCCTTTCTTTAGGCCCAACCGCGATTGTAATTAAATATATATGTGTGTGCGTGTGGTATATATATCTCTCTTATTTTCCGATTGGGATTATTGAAACGTTAACGAACTCTTCACACTGGCAGTCAATTCGATTACCAGAAGCATTTTCCCATTGCGCTGCGTTTTTCACGGCGATGTTTGGCTTTCGGAAATGGACGGAAATGGGGGAGAAATCAAATCACCGAATTTTATTTACTAATCTAATGCACACACCCAAGCACCCACCCACACACACAAACGCACATACACACACAAAAGTATGCTAATATATTTTGGGCACACGCATAAATATTTTACGCGAGCAACAGTGCGTATACGTAATTTGTTTAATAGTCCGCACAAACATGCCGCTAAACACGATGTCCCGGCGCCAATGTCATTTGTTGTCAGCGCTCAAATCGGGAAATTGATGGAAGTATGAAGCATTTTCACGGCGGAGCTTGAACTAGGGAGGGGGAGGCACAGTCAAGCCTGCCATTTGGGGGATGAAATTATATAAAAAACCAATTTCACAAAGGAAAGAGCATTCCAAAACATTCGATAAGAATTTGGCAATAAAATTTCATACAAATAAGACTATAAAATTGTGGAAATCATGTATTTCCCATCTAAAAAATTACATAAAATATTATTCGTTGATGTTATACTAGTATGTGCGAATTTCCTTCCAATCAAATGAAATAAAGTTTTACAAGGGAAAGTTTAGATCTAAAGTTGCTTTTAATATTCCATGATTTACTTGATTACACTTTCGAAGCTATAAAGTTGTAGAAAGTTTTTCTAAAACCCAACCAAAGTTTGCTGCCTGGGTTTGAGATGTTTTCCAAATTAAAGTTATATTGTTTCTAAACTTCAATTGAAGATAGTTTGCATGTCTTTTAAATTTAAGAATATTTTTTTAATATTCTATATGCTTTAGTTGAGTTAAAGCGTTTTTAGTTCTTTATATCTAATTTCTAAAAGCATATTCAGGTTATTTGAACTACTAACTTCTAAATATCTATAGATATGATGTATATTTAAATATTGCTCAAACATATAAGCTTATTCACATAAGATTTACTTCACAAAAAACATGTGGAAACATAAAAGATTGTTGATTCAATCAAAAGTGTCATTTCTAGCAATAACTTATTTAAGAGAATCCTTTTAGCCTTGTTCCTATCCTCATTCACCGCTAATTTAACATCCTCTCTGTCTCATCCTTTAATCGGCATTAAATTTGTACAGGCTTTTTGAGTGTGTGTTCCGGATTTAAGCTGCCATAAATTTACAGATTCTTCGGCTCAGATTCTTTGAGGCATCTCGCTGTTTCCATTACGCACGCATCACCATAATAATAATAGTAGTAATAATAATAATGATTATGCTGAGATGATGCTGATGACGGTGATGATGCCACATAAAAGGCGACGGGGCACATTTCAATTCCACAAAAGGCGCGTGTATCTCGAAGATACATTTCTATCTCGAGTGCGCGAATTCGCGCGGCAAACCAAAGCTCGCAAAAAAACAAAAAAGAAAAAACTGGCATAAATGAATGCTAAAATATATTTCGGCGGCGTCGCCATTACTATTATATATGTTGTTGTTTTTATTGTTGTTCCTATTGCTATTGCTTTTTCAACTATCAAAGGCTTTGTGCAAAAAGAGTGCAAAAAAAAGTAATGCAAAGTAAAGTAAAGTAAAGCTTGGAATGTCGTAGCACAGACAAAGTTTTTATACACTGAAACAGAAGGATTTTAAGATGGAAAAATCTAGAATAGAATATAGATTTAATAATAATTTAATTTAAGGCTTGACTTGAAAAGGGTAATAATAATCTAATCTATTTTAGATCTTGGGAAAAAGAGAATTTGTACACACAGCTACATATTTCGGAAGAAAGTGACCTCTTTCAGTATTTAGAGTTGGAATATTTAATGTTTAGTATCTAAACCTCATCTAAACTTGCATAAAATCTAATAAAGAACAAGAAAAGATACTGTATCTAAACTTCAATTCATATAATAAGATACAGATGTGTATAAATTTATTTTTCGCTGTGTGCACGTATGACAATTGGTTTTTTGTTGGCTTTGCGAGAGCAGAAACAAAACAAAAACAAAAAACAAAAAAAGATTCAATAAATCAAAAGAAAAATGCAAAAAGTGCTTGGCGAATTTTAAGCTTCGCTTTTTTGCTGCCGGCGAATGTTTTGTATACAGTTGCGTTTATTTGTTTACAGCCCAGCGAGTTGGACGCTTTGTTTACAACTTTATTTTTTATTTTACTTCTCTTTTTTTTTTGAGAAAATAAAAAAATACCGACATATATAAATTTCAGCTGTGGCTGAAAAAGTTTTGGTAAAATAAAACCGAAAATTGGGAGATAAGCAAAAATAAAAGAACGGCGAGGAGCTACTGAGCGGAAATCATATTGGGGTAGTTGTTGTTATATAAAACAAATTATATGCGAATTTTTGCACAAGACACACACACACACACGCACACTGGCAAGGAATCAGGCGCTCAGCATGGATAACAGTGAGCGAAACGGAGGGGGAGGAGTTGGTGGAGGCGAAGCCGGCAGAGGAAGCAAGGAGAACAAACGAATTTCAACGACGCAAATTTCGATTTCCTCGAAATTTCTACCTTCTATTATGCTCGCTCTGCTCCTTCGTCTTCCTCAGCCTGCTTCTGCTTCTTGCTTCTTCCAGCATCATATACATTTTGTTTGCGAAAATAAATGGAAAAAACGGGGAAAAAACACAGCAGAAGAAGAAGCAACAGCAGCGCAGCTTACTAAGCTTTTGCTGCCGGCGTCGCTGCCGCCGCTTGCTCCTTGTTTTTGCTACGCTCTTGCTGTGGTTTTTGGTTTTTTGCCTGTTATTTTGGGTCCCATGCATTAACTACTGTACTTGTACTTGTTGTCTTTTCTTTTGTTTTGTTTTCTATTCCTTCATCCTTTCTGGCTGGCTTTGTTTGTTTGGAATTTGGCAGTTTTTAAGTATTTTTACCACCCCCACACGGGCAGCACACAAACAAAGCCTCTCGCAATCCCACACACACACACGCACTCCACGCACTTTTAGTCTCTTTTACGGCTTCTTCTTCTTCGCTGCCGTCTTGTTATTCTCTCTTTGTTGTATTATGTCATAATTTATTTTCACACAGGACTAAACAATGCCGGAATTTGCACAATTGATAAAGCCAATGAATCACATTTCGTTTTCATTAGCCTCTTTCTCGCTCGCTCTCTCATTCTGTCCGCCGTTCCTACTCTCTTTCCGGCTGCACCGGCTCCTGTTGCCTCCACCGGCCCCCTCCACCTTCACCTTCACCGCCACTGCCTTTGTTGTCTTTTTTGCATTTCCGTTTTACGTTTGTATTTCTCTCGCACTCACGCACACACATTCACACACACACACACGCACTCGCACATAAATTACGCGCACAATTCAATATTGGAGCTGCAATTATTGTTGTTGTTCAGCTTGTTTAATTTTTGTTTGTTGCACACACACAGAATATCGCAAATTTGCTAGCGCCGGCGAGGGCAAAAATTACTCGAGAAACGCGCCCGCAAACACGCAAAGCGGAGCAAACACGTCCAAACAGTTTGCCGACGCGACCGAGAATTGCGAAAGCGAACGACAAATAAAAAATAAACCCCCGTTTCAAAAAACGAGATTTGCCCGCCGAACAGTGCTGCCGGCATAGCTTATTTCAAGCTACATATACCTGGCGTACGTAAACATGGAAAAGCTTATGGAAATTCCAACGCTTACAACCTTAAAAATAGATTATTTTAATATAAATCTGGCATATTCTTTTAAAATATTAAGATAAATATAGATAACATTTATAACACTTGTGTTTTTTGACAATAAATATATACTAACATGGTGTATTTACATCTCTAATACTATTTGAAATATATTATATTTATAGCCATTTCGATTTATCTATTTTAGTGCTAGACTAAAGGAATATGGAAAAAGGTCGATTAAGTTACTATTTTATTTGTTTTGCCAATAAACAATAATACTGCAAAAATTATTAAATCTTACCTATCTTCTTCAACCAAATAATTAGCTTCCAAGACAATAAAACTACTTCCTTTTTTATCAAATAGGCACCAAATCTTTGTAAACCTATTACGAAGTATATTTTTCTAGTTTATGTTATAAATAAAAGAAAAATTACATTATTACTCATTGCGATTCCGTAAGCAAGCAATAATAATTCTATAAACAAAAACTTCTGAAAATCTTGACTTCAGCTGTATTTGCACAAAATCTAGTGTTCTTATATTCCAAATTGTGCTATTTTTTGATCAAATCTGGTGTATTTTTGACTTAAATTAATGAATATAAATAATACTGTATACAATATCGGTTATAGTTTCTTTGATTTTTAGCATATTCTTTATATACTTAGCCTGATTTAGCTTATTTTTTGCCCAAAATCTAGCTATAACGGGTGGTTATTGCCTGCCAACACTGCCGCCGAACGAACTTCGGATTGAACCGGGTAAAAAGAGCGGGCGAGAGAAAATACGTTCTCACCAAAAGCTTGCAACCGCGACGCCGGCAGAGGCAGAGACTGCGAAGCCAGCAGTGTGGCGAGCTTCCATTTTGCCGGCGACGGCAACTTTTGTTTTTGTTTGCGACGCACGCAGCCAAAATTTCAATGGCAGCCGCGACGTTGACGTCGACAGCAGCAGCAAAAGCTCACGGCGGGCTTATGAATGAGTTGAAAGCGAAGGCGGAAAAACAAATACCAAAAAGAATGAAGGAAAGCAAAAGGAGGAAACAGATGGAAATTTGAAAATATAAAAAATTAAATAAAACAGATTCATTAAATATATTTTAAAATGGCCAGTAATACTTTTTAAGGAACCAGCAGAAGTAAGTTGTGCGGGGACGTAGCAGGCAACTTTTTGTCAGGTGGCAAACCTGAAGGTCGAACTTCTTTACGTTTAAAGTGAAATTTGTTACAAATTACATTAAAGTCTGTCTTTATTAAACGCTCTCCCTTACTTAGAATCGGGAGGTGGCGTGAATTAATTTTTTACAATTTCTATTTCGTGTAAAAGTGACTGGGAACCCCCAAAAGATGATCCGTGGCTAGGATAGCTCCATCTAATCCGTGTCGGAACGAGCTGATGTCTTCTTGGATTTTTTATGTTTGCGCTTTTTGTCACGATGTCGATCCTCCGGACTTGAGTCGCGCCTGCCCCGAGTGCTGGACTCCGTTTTGGCCTCGTTTCCGCCTGCCTCGTCGGTTTCAGCTCCGCCAGCTGCACTCGAAGCCACCCGATCCTCGTCCTGCAGCTTCTTGAGAGTCTCATCTTTTAGGCGCTCTAGCTCGTTGAGCTCCCGTGTGGTGCGCTCCATCTCCAGCTCATCGTCTCGCAGCTTCTCTGCACGACGCTCCTCCTCTTGGGCCATCTCCTTGCGTCGCTCCTCTTCCCGCTCGATCTCCTTGCGCATGTGTTCCTTGAGCAGCAGCGCAGCCTCGGCCCGCTTTTGCATCTTCTCGCGGGCCGCTTTGTCTCGATCCTCATCCAGGGGCAGGGCAGAGGTAAGCTTGGGCTCCGGACTGCGTGAGCGACGGCGGCGAGAGCGACTCGTTGAGGGACTGCGACTACGGGATGAGCTGTGGCCACGGCGTCCACGACTACGGCTGCGTCTGTTGTCCGGGGAGTCGTGTCGCCTTCTTCCTGGAGAATTCTGTCGTCGTCTGCCGGATGATTCCTGACGCCTTCTAGCAGGTGATTCCCTGCGCCTTCTGTCTGGCGAGGCCTGCCGTTTTTTGCCTAACGAATCCTGACGCTTTGGAGAATCCTGTCTTTTGCCAGGTGAATCTTGTCGTTTTCCCCTAGGGGAATTCCGACGCTTTCGGTTGGGAGAATCATCTCGGTTTTTGCTCAGAGAGCGCTGCCTTTTCTTGCCTTGAGAGTCCTCTCGCTTTCCCCTGGGTGAATCCTCGCGCTTTTTAACTGGAGAATTCCTGCGCTTTCTTACGGGTGACTCATCCCGGTGGTTTCCCTGTGAATTGCCACGCTTTTTGTTTGATGACTCATCCCGCTTCCTGTCATTGGAGTCCGTCCGCTTCTTTGCCGGCGAATCCTGGCGCCTAGAGTTGGGTGAATCCTGCCTGCGACCACGACTGCGAGAACGCTGCGCACGCCGGCGGTCACCGCTGGGAGAGGGCCTTCCTCGGACTGGAGACAGGGGGAATCGATTGCGGTAATCATTATCCTGTGACCGCGAACGGCGGCGACGATCCCGATCCGCAAAAGGATTGCGACGACTGCGGTTAAACTGGTTCTGACTGTGGCCCTGATTGTGATTTTGATTCTGGCCAGGACGCCGGGCTGGTGAGCGCTGCTGGCGACGCACGGGAGAGTGGCGACGTGCTGGGGAAACGGAACGACTGTGCTTGGCTTTGGATTTGTCGTCGGGCTTGCGCTCATCACGCTTGGAATTTCGATCCCTGTTGGTCGAAGCCTCCACCTTGCTTTGCGGCTTGCTGGGTGACTTCACCTTCTCCTGCTCCCGCTCGGATTCGGATTCACTTTCAGTCTGCTGTTCGTAGTCTAAGGCATTCATATCCACTGACTTGCGTCGCTTGACAGGACTGCTATCCTTCGGTTTTTCCTTTTCACTGGCATTATCCTTGACCCTGTTGCGCTCTGAAGTGTCCTTTGATTTGGATTTATGGGCTGGCGAGGACCTATCCGGCGTCAGTTTGCCGCCATAGGAGCTGGCATGGGAGGTCTCGAAAAATGCCACATTTTTAGGATGTTTGGTGGCCTCTTCGTGGCGCCGTTTGCGCTCAATCTCACGCCGCTTCACCTCCTCCTCGTGCATCTTGGTCTCCTCCTCGAGTCGCTCCAGATCGGACAGTTTAATGGTGCGCTTCTGGGCATGCTTCCAATGGGGTGGCGTTGTGCTCTTCGAACGACTGCGCGAGGGTGTGCGAAAACGCTGGAAATTGATATAAAAATTAGGTATTTTTTGTTGCGAAGAACGAAAAAGAGTGTTTAAACTTACAAATACGCCGCGTCCTTTGACAATACGACCGCTGCGCGTGGTGGGCTGTCTCTTTGACCAACCAAAATAGTTGCGATTGCGGTCATGATCACGGTCCCTCTCCCTATCCCGCTCACGTTCCCTGCCTCGATCACGATCCAGTCCCCGTCCACCACGATCCTCGCGATCCCGTGACCTAGACCTCCCGTCACGCATTAGAAAATGGTTTGATACCTGGAAAATGGTAAGAAATGAAATAATTAAATAATATATGACAAATGCCAGCCAATTGAATAACCACCTCTGGTATCTCGTCAGGATTTATCTTTGTAATTGTAACCAGTGGATGAAGTTCACCCTCTTCCCTTTCCTCGTCATCATCCGGCGGCAACTGTTCATCACGGCATTGGCAATGGCCACGTCCTTTTGAATCATTGCTAAGGGAATAGGTACAAATATTAATGAAATATCTATTTAAAGTTCCTGATTAAATTAAGACATACTCTTCACTGTCGCTGGACTTGTTATCCTTGCGATTGCGCTTCTTCTTCTTTTTGTCCTTGCGCTCAGCCTTGACCTCAGCTTCGCTGTCGTCGCTGTTGGATTCATCACTGGCTGCAGAGCGACGCTTGCGCTTTTTCTCTTTTTTAACTAATTTAAATATATTACGATTTAATAAGTGTGAATCTGGTTAAATATATTTTCAGCCTACCCTTTGTCTGTTTAACTAACTCGCCACAATTGGCTATGGCCGCATCCTGCAATGGTCGCGAATTCCGATCGATAGGCAGCTCCTCCAATTGTCGCACCAACTCCTGACCGGATATAACTTGGCCGAATACAACATGGATACTGGAAGGAAAAGGAAACCTAGTATTAATATCTACATTTCCCTTCTGGATTTATTTCCTTTTTTTATACTTACTTGTCCAAATGTGGCGCAGGCTGTGTTGTACTACAATGAGAAACAGAAGAAGAGAAAATAGTCTTTACACTTTGCTAACTTTTTGTTGGTTTGCAATTAGGCAGGTGGTTGTTGTTGTTGTTGTTGTAATCGATGTTGTTGGTTTTTTGGTTGAGCTGATGTTTGCTGTGGTGATGGTGGTGGTTGTAGTAGAGGCAGTAGTTGGTGGACACAATGTATAAAAGGACCAAAGGTGTAGACAGGAGTTTTGGCAATCCACCAGCACCACAGAGACCGATCATTGTCACATTCTAGCATCTAGTAGCTAGAGAGAGAGCTATCCAAATCCAGAGAGACTCAGATCCATTGGAGAGCAGCCGACAGAGAGACAGAGACCATAGGACCGAAGACCAGCCAGAGAGCAGAGACACACACACACACATACAGAGTGAGAGCGAGAGAGGGAACCAAGCCGGGCCGGGCTACGTCTTTCACTTGGCTTTCAACCTGGCTGGATAGGATGACTGGTTTGATGGATCTGCAGGTCAGTCGATCAGTCGGCTCTCGAGGATCTGCTGTGGGGTTGCAATCTCAGTTTGCTGCCCACGGGCTAAAGCTAAATGGCAATAGATTAATGAACAACAACAGACGTTTAAATAGATAAAATATATGTAGAAGGTGGAGTTAATATTTTTTTTTTATGCCTGCAAACAAAACTGAAACTAAATTTACGAAGGGATTAAGTCCGGAGACCGCCGGTTGCCAGTTGGAGCCCAGGATTGAGCGCACTTACATAAAGAACTGGGAGCCATTGGTGTTCTTGCCCCTGTTGGCCATTGACAGCAGGAAGGGGCGATCGTGCTTCTTTTCAAAGCTTTCATCTGAAATTATTTATATATTTTATTAATAGTTTTCTTGGGGATATAATTTTAAAGTGTAAAATATCATGTAATTTCTTCTTCTTATAAAACAATAAAATACAGCACATACTGTCATTATTTTATTTGTTAATCTTATCTTTTGCCCACTGTATTGATTTTATTTGCAACCACAGACCCCCAGCATACACACACACACACACACACACACACACACATACACTCACCCTCAAAAGTGCCGCCATAGATGGACTCGCCGCCCGTCCCATTGCCAGCACTAAAATCCCCGGCCTGCACCATAAAATCCTTGACCACCCGATGAAAGATGACGCCCTTGTAGTGTAGCTTTTTGCCGGTAACCATTCCCAGGCCTTTTTCGCCTGTGCACAGAGCCCGGAAGTTTTCGGCCGTCTTTGGAGCCACATCGCCGTATAGCTCGAAAACGATGCGGCCCACGGCAAGGCCGCCCAGCGATATGTCGAAGAAGCATCGCGATCGCGTTGCGCTCGCGTCGCGTTTGTTCACAGTCATTATTTTATAGACGCTAATTGAGCCTAAATGCAAATTAAATTCTTGATATTTTTTTCACCGTTTTCGCGTTGCACAATGTTGGCGATGCCAACTCGATTGAAAGCCAGGGATGGGTTAACAAAATGTCTTCAAGAAATAATCGTATTGTGCGCGAAGTGTTATCGATATTTACTTAATATTTATTAATTTGTATATTAAAAGTTAAAGCTGTGGAATTTTTTAAAGAAAATGTGTAGAGTAGTCTTTTCCTTCGCTTATTTATCATCTTGTATCATTCCATTAGCTTAAAAAGTATATTTTGAAATCTCAACGGAAAATTGGCGATATTCAACAAAAAATGCAAGTTTTGTCTTATTGAAATCTTGTAGAAATTTTGAGAAATTGAATTACATTTTTTTTAAATACTTTAAAATTAGCTTAAATTCTTAATATATATTTAATTTAAAAGTCTTTTATTATGTTTATATGTTTTACACAGCAAATGCAACGAAATAATTTAAGAACTCAACTTTAAAAAATTTGAAAACCAAAATACAAATTGAATACAAATTGTTTAAATGTTTTTAGCATAGAATTCATAACAAAACTTTTACTTTAATATCCAATTGGTTTTAATTAACAATGTCTCGAAGCTTATTTCTTGCAAAAAATATACAATTTTGAGTCGAGACTTCTGCGTAATTATGAAATATATCAGTAAAATTGAAATGCAATATTTTCTAGGATCTAAAATAACAAAATACAAAGTTATAAATAAATTAAACAAAACAATTTATGATATAAATAATACAAAATCGCCCATTTAGAATTCTTCTTCCACGGTTTCCTATAAGAAATAGAACTAGCTATAAACTAGCCAAAACCGCAACACAAGCAAGACGTGTTCTTTTTTGGAAAAAACAATAGTAAAAGCAAATAGTTTATCAGAGAAAAACAAACTAAACGACAAAATTCTAGTGAAGCGACAACTGTCGCGATAAAAGCCCGACAATCGCAGTGCAGCAGCAGCAACAGCAGCGCAATCTCGGCCTCAGCTGACCGGAAAGTTACTTCGGCGACGTGGAAAATCACCAAAAAAAAAAAAAAGAAAAGAAAAGAAAACACAGCTTTAAAAAATGTGTGGAATCTTTGCATATCTCAACTACCTGACGCCAAAGTCCCGGCAGGAGGTGCTCGATCTCCTCCTGCAGGGACTCAAGCGGCTGGAATATCGTGGCTATGACTCAACGGGCATAGCCATCGACGATCCCAGTTCCACGGAAGGCAACGCCATCGTCATGGTCAAGCGAACCGGCAAGGTGAAGGTCCTCGAAGATGCCATAGCGGAGGTGTGTCGCGGCGAGGACTATGCACGACCCATTGATACCCACATTGGCATCGCTCACACCCGTTGGGCCACCCATGGAGTGCCCTCCGAGGTTAATTCGCATCCCCAGAGATCCGATTTGGAAAACAGCTTTGTGGTCGTGCACAATGGCATCATTACAAACTACAAGGATGTAAAGACACTGCTGGAGAAGCGGGGCCATGTCTTTGAGTCCGACACGGACACGGAAGTGATTGCCAAGCTGGTGCAACATCTGTGGCAAAAGCATCCTGGCTACACCTTTGGTGAGCTGGTGGAGCAGGCCATTCAGCAGCTGGAGGGCGCCTTTGCCATTGCCTTCAAGTCACGTCATTTCCCCGGCGAGTGCGTGGCCTCCCGACGTGGCTCTCCGCTGCTGGTGGGCATCAAGGCCAAGACCAAGCTGGCCACGGATCACATACCCATTCTGTATGCCAAGGCCCATCGTCCCCATGGTCAGCCGCAGCAGCAGGCCTACCAGGTCCTGCCGCCCGGTGATTGCAGTGCCGAATTCCAGCCACTGGAGCGTAAGGAAGTGGAGTACTTCTTTGCCTCGGACGCCTCGGCGGTCATTGAGCACACCAATAGGGTTATCTACCTGGAGGACGATGACGTGGCTGCTGTCAAGCGAGATGGGACCCTTAGTATTCATCGGCTAAACAAATCCTCAGATGATCCACATGCCAGGGAGATCATCACCCTCAAGATGGAAATCCAGCAGATAATGAAGGGCAACTATGACTACTTTATGCTGAAGGAAATCTTTGAGCAGCCGGAATCGGTGGTGAATACCATGCGTGGCCGTATGAGGTTCGATGCACAGAGTGTTGTACTTGGCGGCATCAAGGAGTACATACCGGAAATTAAGCGCTGCAGGCGTCTGATGCTCATAGCCTGCGGCACATCCTATCACAGTGCCGTGGCCACCAGGCAACTTCTGGAGGAACTCACCGAACTCCCTGTTATGGTCGAGCTGGCCTCGGACTTCCTGGACCGCAACACACCCATCTTCCGGGATGACGTGTGCTTCTTTATCTCACAATCGGGCGAAACGGCGGACACTCTGATGGCCCTCAGGTATTGCAAGCAAAGGGGAGCTCTTATCGTGGGCATTACCAACACGGTGGGCAGCAGCATCTGCCGGGAGTCGCATTGCGGTGTGCATATCAACGCTGGACCCGAGATTGGTGTGGCCTCCACCAAGGCCTATACTTCTCAATTCATTTCCTTGGTAATGTTTGCCCTGGTCATGTCGGAGGATCGTCTCAGCCTGCAGCAGCGACGACTGGAGATCATTGATGGTTTATCCCAGCTGGACGAGCACATTAGGACTGTTTTGAAGCTTAACTCGCAGGTTCAGGAACTGGCCAAGGAGCTGTACCAGCACAAATCACTGCTGATCATGGGCAGGGGCTTCAATTTTGCCACCTGTTTGGAGGGAGCGCTGGTAAGGGATATAGTTACTTTGTGTGTTCTCCATAAAGTGGAGCGGAAAATGACTCATTTTGCTCATTTAGTTATCATACTTATCTGCGCAGTTGTTTAAACAGAAAACATCTCATAGAAAGTACACGTAAACAAAGATTTTTTTTGCCAAAGATTTCATCAGAATTTCGAATTTGAAGATGTGGATTTAATTGATACTTTAAATTATATTAACTAATTGAAATAATTAAGGGAAATTCATTCTGAAAGCCTGCTTGGAAAATAACTCTAGTAAACAAATCAATTAAGTTATTTTTGCTTTGTACCTTAGTTTAGTTAGAATTCTTTTTAGACAAAATATCCACTTCCGCAAAAGTTTATAGAAATCCCCAGATTCTATGCCCGGCAAAATTTTGATAAGCCTTTTTTTTCCAAGAAACTCAAAGGTGATAAGAAGCGTATGCCAAAGTATGATAACGAAATATATATATGAAACCTAATCACTGACAAAATTCGTCTCTCAATTTACAGAAAGTCAAGGAACTGACCTATATGCACAGCGAGGGAATACTTGCGGGCGAACTTAAACACGGACCTTTGGCCCTGGTGGACGATGAGATGCCGGTGCTGATGATTGTCCTCCGAGATCCTGTCTATACCAAATGCATGAACGCTTTGCAGCAGGTCACATCGCGCAAGGGAAGGCCTATCCTGATCTGCGAGGAAGGCGACACCGAGACCATGTCCTTCTCCACCCGCTCGCTTCAGATTCCCAGGACTGTGGACTGCCTGCAGGGTGTGCTCACTGTTATCCCGCTTCAGCTGCTGTCCTACCACATAGCCGTGCTGCGAGGCTGCGATGTGGATTGCCCCCGGAATCTGGCCAAGTCCGTGACCGTGGAGTAGGCTTCCAATTCGTCAGGGATTGGCCCGCAACAAGAATTCCATTTTTAGTATCTGCCTGAGAATTCCCAAAACTTTAGGATTTAAGACGAAAATTTCTTTTGGTATTTGCACGGATTTAAAAGTGAACTTACTCCCTTTTTATAACCTCTGTGCCCAATACGACGCGAGTCGAATCTGTTAACCCCTGCATTTTGTAGTCTTACTGACCCATTTGTGTTTGTGTAGAAAAATTACTATTTGTGAATGTGCAATTGAAATATAAATATTTCCCAAACATTTATTTTAAATAAATTTGTGTTTGTATACCCTTGCAGGGTATTATAATTTTAGTCAGAAGTTTGCAACGCAGTGAAGGATGCAACTCCGACCATATAAAGTATATAATTATATTCTTGATCAGGATCAACAGCCGAGACGATCTAGCCATGTCCGTCTGTCCGTTTCTACGCAAACTAGTCTCTCAGTTTTGAAGCTATCTAAATTATATATATCGGAACGGGCCGGATCGGACGATTATATCATATAGCTGCCATATGAATGATAAGAAAATTAAAAAAAAAATTATAACATTTTCAGTTTTCAACAGAATTTAATCAAATTTGAGATATATCCATTTCATATTATTTTACAATTTTGTGTTTAATTTTTTAAAAATCGGACTAGTATATCATATAGCCCTCATAGGAACGATCAAGAAATTAATATAATTAAAAATTTTAACTTTTTCAGTTTTCAAAAGACTTTAATCAAATTTGAGATATATCCATTTCATATTATTTTAAAATTTTGTGTTAAATTTTATGAAAATCGGATAAATATATAGGTGCCATACAAACGATATTTAGATGTGGAGCAAATGAAAATGCAAATCTGTGAATGTAAAACTGCAAATATAATATGTATAGGTGAATAAAATGTAAGCAGGTATTACTTCATTGGTTTTTAACATAAATATATATAATTTATATTGTATGGATTCCTTGCCATCGAAGTTGTATCTGCAAGAGTTTATATCCAAAGTTAACTTCCCTTCTTGTTTTTATATATAACAATAGTATAAATAATCAAATTGTAAACTAAATGTGTTTAAAATCGTAAAATGAATTTATTTCCGTCAGTGACTATATTTTATATATTAAAATAATCTAAAAAATGTATAAATCAATTTGGCGGCATTTAAAAATTTAAATAAGGGGAAACCTCCATCCCTGGCTTTATTTCTATATTTTTCTGCAGCCCTGTTTCCGATGCTGTCTGCTTGCTTCGCTGTGTTAAGATTACGCCGAAGACGTCGTGTGGATAACAGCTGTTCGCTGTTTGTGACGCCCTGGAAGCGCACTACCACCCTGTTCTTTTTCTTTTCGACCGTAGAACCACATGTCTGGTAACCGAGATTTTGATTTTCTTTTCGGCGGTATAATGCACCAGTTAATTGACTAATTGCGATTAATTGACAAGATCCAAGTGCACGGCGACGACGGCAATTGACAGTTTATCGCGACCAACGACAAATTGAGTGTGAATCGCATTTCGGGCAAAAATAATATCGTAACGTTCTCCCCCGACCAGCGCGTGAGTGAGTGCGAGCGAGACGCAGCGGTAACGGCAGCGAGAGCGAGTGAGTGAGCGAGCGAGCCAGTGTGCGAAGTGTGTGTGCGCGAGGAAACCCGCAAAAGTAAAGCAACAATAACAACACACGCACGCACACACACAAACGCGAGCGTGTAAGCAGCCCAAAGTGCGTAGTGTGTAAAAGCGAAAAGCATAGAGAAAAGTGAGCGTACAAAAACACGGAGCGGAATTTGTGTATCAAAAATCTGATTGCCGATTTGAATTCAATTCTCTGATTTTCTGGTGCGTATTTAGGAGTTAAGCTTTGTCTATGTGTGTGTATGTGTGACCGCGTGCATCTTTTTGAAATCCGAGTTGCAGGCCAAATCAGCTGTTTATAAGTCAAAACCAGGGCGGCACTAGCAACAATGCAGGTCGTGCACAAATTGCATAATAATTGCCGATGGCCAAAAACAACAAATTTATTGTTTATAGCACAAGCAGCAACAACAACGTTGGCCAAGAGAGCGACATTTGTTTTTATTTTCCCATTGCCTTTGATAAATTGCGGTTTTAATTAGCTCTCACGTAAGATCAACGTAAGGCCACGTAAGGCTTGGCATAGCAAGTGGGCAGACCCAAAAGTGTGCCTAGCCCTGGTCAACTAGCGTTGTGTTGCTTTGTGGAACTGCTTCTTCTTCTTGTTCACTCTCCGCCTCTTCCTCTTCCTCCTGTGTGGGGCAAAAATACGAGTGGCCAGGCCCTAACCTCACTTCTTCTTCTTGTGTGTGGCTGCTGCATAATAATATAATACCTCGCTTCCATCTCGATTCGATTGGTCGTGCCCCCGTAACGGACTCCTCCGTTCAGTCCGTTTTACTAAATACCTAATATATAACTTAAGCAATTTCGCCAGAAAATCAAATTCGCCGAGGCAGCAGCGTGTCAGTGGCTGTGGAAAATCGAGGAATAGGCCGCTGCCGAGGGAGAATGGCCAGTTCTTAAAAAATCACCGCACTCCTCGGCAGGCTTTCCATTGAGTAATAAAGTTTACCAGTTCAAAGTGCAGTGTACGTGTGTGTGTATATATATATGTTTGTGTGTGTGTTTGTGTATGAGAGTGCGTTTATTCTGCCGTAATAGGTTGCATTAAGATGCAATGATTAAATAAATATTGCGAGCTTGACAAACTTTAGATTACATGCAATATTATACCTTACCAACAACATTCCCAGTTCGCACAGTCCTAACATACATAGAAAAACCCCCAAGACAGTCAAGCTTGCTTAAACTTGATTAAACTTGTACGTATTCCTTAGGAAAATTCAATGAAAAATATAGTGAAGCTTCTTAAAGTAAAAATTTTATAGGCGTTTCCTGATACTTAAACTTGCCTGCAGATTTTTTGAAAACTTCTTTAGACATTAACATTTAAAATTGACATTTAACGCCTCTTGTATACATGTATTTCAATAAATTGCGTATGAGAATACGTAATACACAGTCAGAAATATATTATTACCTTTAAAAGGTTAGAAGATATAATTAAAGGACTTATTATTATAATTAAAACACAGAGGCATACAAGATACTTGTTAAAACCCTATAAAAATCTTTTAATGAATGAAAAAGGTTGTAATATTGACTTAAAACTTTAAAGTTCAAAATTTTCCTAATGCTTCCTAATTACGGTTCAAGAAAATCAATATATTTAACACTATAGATAGGCCTTAGACTTTAAATACTTCTTAAAAGCGATTGACTAACTTAATTTTTCTTTTCTAGTTCGGAAGCCGTTCGATCGCCCATCGATTATACACGCATCCCCGTTGACAAGGCCCGGAAGCAGCCAAGAGTTTTCCCGTCTCCCAAACAACGAGGATCAGCCGCTGAAGAGAACCGGAGCAGGAGCAGCACATCTGCTGCCTACTCTGGAGAAGAACCTGACATCAAGACAGACGGAGTAGCTGAAGCAGCCACTGAGCTACAGAGGAGCATGTCCAGCAAGGAGGAGACGCCCTCTACGGGTGGAGCCGCAGCAGCAGCTCCTGTGGCCGCCGCTACCGGCAGTGCCACCACCTCGTACGCCAATGTGGTGCAGAATTTGGACACCAAGAAGGCCGCCAATACGCCAAGCACCACCGTCAACGCATCGACCTCTGCTTCTGCCTCCGTGGATAACAAAGAGAATCAGCCAAATCTAAAGAGCTTCAAGTCGTGGAGCGAGGAGGCCGCAGCCGCCGAGGCAGCCGGTGAATCCATAACCAGCAGCGTCAGCTTGGCCCTTGCAGGTGAAAAGCGTGCCGCCGCCTCTGGAGGAGATAACACCGCTGAGAACTCTTCGGAACTGGACGATAACAATGACTTTGTGCCGGTACTATCCCACCATCGACGCGATCGCAAAAAGGCGCGCAAGGAAAAGCCACGCGAACAGCCGCAGACCGGAGGCCGTGGCGATGGTCAGAAATCCCATCAGGCTGGCAGACGTGCCCCTGGATCCTCGGATCCCGATCGCAAGCAGACAGTAAGGCCTCGGGCTTCCCGTGGCGGAAGTCCTCGCAAATTGGGACCTGGAGCTGGAGCTGGATCGGTGGCCGGTGGAGCAGCTACAGCTGGAGCTGGAGCTGCTGCAACTGCTGCCGGTAATGGCGGCCCGAAAGTACACAAGGATCGCAAGGACACTTCGCCAAGTGCCAGCATCGAGGGAGCAGGAAGCAGCGGCACTGAAACCAAGTCGGGTGATGGAGATCAGCCGGCCGGTGGTGAGAAGGGAGCTGCTGGAGCAGCTCCGCCACCCAAACGATTCATTGCCGCACCACCGCCCAAGGTCAACGCCTGGAAGGTGAGTGATTATGTCACACTTTATTGATTATACACAAAAAACTCTTGAGTGGCTTTAGGAAAAGGGGGAATTTTCTTCTACCCTAGGAAGCGTCAGGTTTTGGTAAAGGCTTTAATGCTTCTCTGGGGAATAGTAATGAAATACAGAAACATTTAGGAAAATATAGATTCACTAATAATTCATATTTTTTTTTTTTCTAGTAAGAACTTTTAATTTAGTTGAAATCAAGCTGATTTTAGACTTGCTCGCTTTTCCAGTTTAAAACTAATGATTGAGTTAAGAAAATGTAGAACCAACATCTTCTAGAAAGCAATGATTTTTACAAATACAAAACTAAAATATGCAAATACAAAAATTATATACACATTTCCTGAGAAGACTATAAAAATTGATTGTAACCAACAGATTTATGATCATTTAACAGAAACCAGAGCTCAAAAGTCTTGAAAGATGTAAAAATCTCCAAGCCGTTTCTGAATAAAGTAATATTTCAGGAAAAGCCTTTAAAAGTGATAAGACAAATACACTTAACAAATTCTTGGTAAAACATACAACATACTCCCAGGCTTTCCTAGTCTAAGTTCGTATTTGAACTGCAAAAATTAAACAATATCCAAAAAAGATTAATACCACAAAATAATCTCAGAATGAGGTCATATCGAGGCAGCCTAATTAGGCAGTGATTACTGTTAGTGATCCCCCCAAAAAGTGAAGTGCACGTTTTTTTATTTTGTAGTTGCTACTTTTTTGTTTCCCTTTTCGCTTTCCATTCTGTTGTCGATTGTCAAATTGCGTCTTAAAAAATGATGGAAAAACATGTCCATATACGACCACCGTCTTTTGGTGTGCGTGTGGCGTCGCCCAACGATGTGTGTGTGTGTGTGTGTGTTTGGTGTGCGTTTCTGTTGGTAAACAAATGTGCGTAGAATGACGGAGGGGACGTTGACGAATAGTGGAAGCAAAGCGGAGCAGTTGATAAACACGAATGCAAGGCAAACACAAAAACAAACACGAGAAATCGTGTGCAAACACGTTTTCCGTTTTGTTGTGGTTTTCCTCGCTGTTATCGTTATGCTTATATTACCGCTGACGATTACAAAATTGTGCCTTATATCTTGTATCACACAGATACACAATTGCAGGCATATAATTGCATAATATTTGCCAGAAGCTAAAACAAAAGCCCAAACAGAAGCGAAAGCGGTGCGACATAACAAAGCAAAAGAAGAGAATCGCGCGAAATAAACAGTATATTTTATTTACAGTCCACACTCGATACAGTAAACCATCAGAGCTATATAAGAAATAGGATTTTCTAAATTTACGTGATTTTCTTTACTTATCTTTGTTCGTTTTTCTTAGTTAGAGAGTACTGTAGTTTTATGTACATACAGTGACGCACTAAACTGTTGGCACAGTTGCAAATTTGAACTTTAAGTGATATTTCCAGGCGTATACATTATTTTATTGAATAAATTTTTTTTAATATAGTTAAATTAAATAATTATGTATAAAATGACCCTATTTTTTTTTTATTTTGTTTCATATATTTAAAACTATATAAACTTTAAAAGAAAATTACCATATTTCGTGACACAAAAGTCTTGGCACAGCTATAAGTTTTACTTGAATTATTTTAGATTTAAGGCTTTTATGTTCTTATTTTTTTAACAAATGTAAAAAGGGACTTTTTTAAGCACATGGCGTCACAAAGTTTTAAAAAAAGTTAAATTTATCTACATTTTTTCTGCCATTTGCCTAAATTTTAAGAAAATTGAGAATAAGCGATAAAAAACCAACGTAGCTCAAAGAAAAATTGTCCTTCATCTGCACAATGAAGTCAAATTATATGGCGAAATAGCCAAAATTATGGAACTAAGCTGATTTTCCATTAGAAGCATCCTGCAACGCTACGACGGAGTCGAAAGCTTGGAGAGCGCACCTAAATCTGGGCGTCCCAAGACTTTAAGTCACCGGGAACGCAACGCGGTGATCCAAAAGGTCAAAGTGGACTCCAAAACATCATCCTCCTAGATCACCGCTGAAGTTAAAACCGAGTTTGGGAAGAAAATTCATCCGATGACCGTAAAAAGTGCCCTACACAAAACCAACTTACATTGCCGTGCTGCTAGGCGAAAGCCGTTCATATCTGATATCAATAAAAAAGCGTTTGGCCTATGCTAATGGATATCTAAGCAAGCCAATTGAATTTTGGGATCACATACTCTTTTCGGAAGAAACCAAATTTAATATTTATCGCTCTGATGGCCGCCAGAACGTATAGAGAAAACCGAACACTTTCGCCTAGCAGCACGGCAATGTAAGTTGGTTTTGTGTAGGGCACTTTTTACGGTCATCGGATGAATTTTCTTCCCAAACTCGGTTTTAACTTCAGCGGTGATCTAGGAGGATGATGTTTTGGAGTCCACTTTGACCTTTTGGATCACCGCGTTGCGTTCCCGGTGACTTAAAGTCTTGGGACGCCCAGATTTAGGTGCGCTCTCCAAGCTTTCGACTCCGTCGTAGCGTTGCAGGATGCTTCTAATGGAAAATCAGCTTAGTTCCATAATTTTGGCTATTTCGCCATATAATTTGACTTCATTGTGCAGATGAAGGACAATTTTTCTTTGAGCTACGTTGGTTTTTTATCGCTTATTCTCAATTTTCTTAAAATTTAGGCAAATGGCAGAAAAAATGTAGATAAATTTAACTTTTTTTTAAAACTTTGTGACGCCATGTGCTTAAAAAAAGTCCCTTTTTACATTTGTTAAAAAAATAAGAACATAAAAGCCTTAAATCTAAAATAATTCAAGTAAAACTTATAGCTGTGCCAAGACTTTTGTGTCACGAAATATGGTAATTTTCTTTTAAAGTTTATATAGTTTTAAATATATGAAACAAAATAAAAAAAAATAGGGTCATTTTATACATAATTATTTAATTTAACTATATTAAAAAAAATTTATTCAATAAAATAATGTATACGCCTGGAAATATCACTTAAAGTTCAAATTTGCAACTGTGCCAACAGTTTAGTGCGTCACTGTATGTATGTATACGTTTTAGGCCGTTTTTTATTATGCAATGCAAGCGATAATTTACCGGTGTTTATTTGTTTCTATTCTTGAATTCTCTTTAATTTATACCTATAAAAAGAAAGTCGTTTATTTAAAAAGTTTGATTTTTATATAAACAAAACTCTGGGTTATTCATCCCCACGCTTGTCATTTTTTGTTTTGTGCAATTATTTATTCTATATATCCAATAGAACATCTGTTTTTTCGGTGTCGCAACAAACGAGAGAAAAAGTTAAATATTTCTCAACTAAAAATAAATGTCAAGGTCAACCGCTTGTCGCCGCCTATCTATCCAACGAGCTTTCCCGCCTCTTTACCAACCCCCCTCCCAAAGCGAAAGCGTTCAAAAGAGAGAGCGAAATCAACAGAGAATGCAAAGCAAACGGTACAAGAAGCACACACATACACACGCACATTATAAAAAGGTGTGGCTAATTTTCTTTTTGCGGAAAAAGTTAAAAGTTTACACAATTTTTGGTCTTGTCGTCAAGCGGGAGTTTTAAAATTCGCCTTGCTTTTGTGCTACTTTAAATGGTGGAAAGATGCAAAGATCTCGCTTACTTTTGACATTATTTGCATATGCAAATCGAACTAATTAGGAAGCAAAAAAAGACCTGAATTTTACCTATATATTTTTTTTTATGTTCTAACTTTTAGTCAAACAGAAGACAATCTCTTTTATTTTGTTTTATAAACAAAAGATTAATGAGAATGTCTTTGTCTACCCTTACAGGGTATTAAACTTTTAGAAGAAGCTTGTAACGCTGTAAAAAAGTAATTTCCGATCCTATTTCGTAAACTTTTATGATGCACGAGTAATGATTGATAAGACATTTTTAGTGTTTTTTATAATTATAATAATTTCTGTCATGTGGACACTCGTGTAAATGGTTAATTAGGGGGGTTTTAAGCTTCCAGTCTTGTTTTAACCAAGCTTACGTTGCAGTCGACGCTAACGTCAGCTGAAGCAGCAACCAGCAGCAGCGGGTGCAGGGCGATTCAAATTTGAAATTTATTTTTCCATGCCAGTAGCCGTCGACGTGTGCCGTTGAAGAGTTCGCGGATGGGAAAACACACAACACCTTGCACCTAGTCCCATTTTCCAACGCTTCCAGCCATCACCCCCCATTAGCAAGTGTTCCCGCGATCGGTGAAAGATTAAGCCAAAATAAAATAAATAAAAACAGCTGGAACGACGGCACGTGTTGTCCAACTCGAACTCAAAATTGAACTCACCTCGTGGTGAATTCAGTAAACGGTCACTGTTGCGAGGCGATTATTAGTCCAAGATAAATATCGAAATTAGAATAATACACAGAAACGGCTGAAAGGCGTGCGCAGCCGACGTGGAACTTCAAACTTGTCATACTTGTTGATATTATAGCGGCGTGTGTATATCGCATTTCCTTTCTCTCTCTCTCTCTTTCTCCCTTTCGTTTTATGTGTGCGTGTTAATTCGTATTCCGTCGGTTTATCACGTTACGTTTCCTTACGTAGCGTAAGGCTGATTTGCAAAGAGAGTGATAAGAATTGCTACCCTCTTTTTCCTGTGCCCTCTCTCTTTCTCTTTGTGTGTGTGTCTTATTCCTCATTCCGTCTCTTAAGTGGCACAAAGGAAAACAATAACAAACATGAAAACGAAAGTAAATATGCAATCATCTTAACAACTTAATTAAAGTTTATGTGTATCTAGAAAAAGAGAACTTTAGACGCTTATGTCAATAGTGAAATGTGTGTCGCATTGGAGAGTACAGTAGACATTGGTCACGGGGAAAAAGTTTATAGATTAAAATAAAATTTAAATCATGATCAAGAATATATGCATATGATTAATAGGGTCGGAAATTACTTTTTCCTGACTATAATTATAATACCCTGAAAGGGGTATAAAATCAGGCAACAATTCATATATTATTATATATT